CGGAGGAGGCGGAGAAGGCGGAGGAGGCGGAGGAGGAGGAGGCGGAGGAGGAGGAGGAGGAGGGGGAGGAGGAGGAGGAGGAGGAGGAGGAGGAGGAGGAGGAGGAGGAGGAGGAGGAGGAGGATAGGGAGCAGCATGGTAAGGAGGAGGAGGAGCGGGAGGAACGAGGGGGGAAACACTACGGCTCCTGGATCCCAGGCGCACAGGGTCTTTTCTGGATCTGCTGGAGTGTGCGAGCGTTGACTCCACTCTTTGTATGTAGATTTTTGTCCCTATTGATGCCCGCCTTGCTCTTCGCTTTTTTTTGGGGGGGGGGAGAGGGGGGTTCTCTCTCTTCTTTTCCTTTGTTTTCTTCTCTCTCTCTCTAAAACAATTTTGTGTATGTGTGTATCTATATCTCTCTCTCTCTCTCTTTCTCTCTTCCTCTACCTCCACTTTTCCTCTTCCTCCTTGCCATCTTCCCCTCTGCTTTGCCTCTCCGTTTCCCTTTCTGGGTTCCTTCCCCTCTCCTTATCCCTATCTTTCCTTCTGTTCCCTCTTCCTATCCTTGTTCTTACCCCTATCTCTCCTCCCCCTCCATGTCAACGTCCTCTCTCCCCCTCTATGCCTCCCTGTGCTCCGCTCCCTACCTTCAGGAGGACGTCTTGCTCATGGGACTCCGGTCCCCGCTGGTGCGTCTCGTCTTGGTGCTGGTCCCTGATGTGGCGCGCAGGGACAGGTCCAACCAGATCCGTGACATAAGTGACGCACCGAGTCCGTGAGAACTGCCCACATTTCCGCCCCAGGATGAACTGCGACGTATTGCTGGAATTGGTCGCGGTGCTCGGCGTCATGCTGCTGGTGCCTGTCGTGCTGCTCAGCGTCGTATTCCTGGAGCGTCGTGCTGGTCAGCGTCGTGCTGTTTGGATCGTTGGGATTGCAGTTGCTGCATTTTTTGTGGTGTTTCCGCCGAATTGTTTGAATTTGTGGCAGGGCCGCTCAGCGTCGTGCTGCTGGTGCCCGACGTGATGCTGGTGCCCGCTGTGCTGCTCAGCGTGCGGCTGCTCAGCGTCTTGCTGCTTAGCGTCGTGATGCTGGCATCCGAGTCCTTACTCCGTGGACTCGGGAAACATAAAGGTGGACAGGCCCAGCTTTGGCGACTTGGATCCGTCACGTGATGCGCACCGGAGGAGGAGGAGGAATAATAATAATGATAATAATAATAAGAATTAGCATAATAATAAGATTCATAAGAAGAATAATAATAAGAATAATAATAATAAGAATAATAACAAGAAGAATACTAAGAATACCAATATTAATAATAATAATAGTAACAATAGTAATCATAATAATACTATTAATAGTAATAATAATAAGAATAATAAGAACAATAACACTAATAATAACAATAATAATAAAAAAATAATAAGAAGAAGAGGAGGAGGAGGAGGAGGAGATAAAGAGGAGGAAGAGGAGGGGACTCGGTGGGTGGGGGGGGGAATTTCGCATCCCGCGACGACATCCCTCTGCCTGCGTCTTATCAAGCCTGTTGGGGCAAGTCCTGTCGGAACTGATGCCCGGATCGCGTCGAGTCGTGCCCCCCGTCGTGTTGTGGAGCGTCGGCCGGGGTCCTTGGCCCGCGCTTTCGCCCGTCCTCTCCGTTCTTCGTTCCAGCCTGTACGTGCATGGTGGAGTCCCCTTCCCATCAGTTGGGAAGCTGGCAACTTTCATCATCGTGGGGCTTCTCCGAGGAAAAGATACCTCCCTGTCTGGCAGGGGCGCTGGGCGGCCCGTGCTGGAATCCACAATGACATCGGGCGTCTCTTGCCTCTGGGGGGTGGTGGCAAGGCCACTCTCGGGACTGGGGCTTCGCGTGCTGCCGTCTTACGCTGCCGCAGTTCTCTTGCGCGTGGGCTGCTCTTGGCATGCTCACGGGGCGTCACGCGTGCTGTTCACGTGTCGGAGCGCCCAAGGAGTCTCTCGTTTGCTGATCCTGGTCGGGATTTTGATGGGATGGTATCGGGCCGCTCTCGGGGGGAAGAGCAGCTCTCGGGGATATCGGCTTCACGTCCATCGTGTCCGCCTCCCGAGGTCGCGGTCCCTCGCAGCCTTCCGGGGCTGCCTGTGAAGGTGCAGTGCGTACTCCTCCCCCCTCTCGTCTCGCGTTCTCTCGCCCCTCGCCTCCTGGAGGCGGTGTGCTGGTTTGCCCCGCTGGGGCGCTGTGGTCGGCCGGCCTTCTGCCTTCCCTGCCTGTCTCGTCCTCGCTCCCCCCCCGCGGATGGCGGAATAGCTGCTCGCGCAGGGCTGGACGCTCGTGCCCTTGCCTGTTGCCCTTCTCTCCTCTCCTCAGTCTCCTCTCCGCCTCCTCGTCTGCGCTTCGTGCTCCGTGCCCTCTGCCTGGCGGCTGCATGCGAAAGCGCCGCACCCACCATTGGGGTATCCGCCCTGACAACGCTGTCGCGTGGAGCATGCGGCCCATCGATCCTTGTTCTGTTTTTGTGACGCCAGCTCGTGGAGCCTTTGGGTTGCGATCGAACGACCATCCGTGGATTTCCTCCCTTTCCCCTCTCCCTCTCTTTCGCCCGCCCTTTCCCAACCTCCTTCCTTCCTTCTGTTGTGCCGTGGCTTTCGATTGGCCTCTCAAGACCAGTAGGGTCTTCAACACACTGTTGCTTCCCGTTGCCACTTGCATGGTCAGATTTTTTGGCAACCCGATTGCCCAGTCCCTCTGATCCAATTTCTCCCCCTCTCCTTCCGCTCTTTCGCTTGGAAGCTCGTGGAGGCACGTCTGCTTGCGAGCTGTGATGACCTGTGTATGAGAGAAACCTGTCTTCAGGAGGATGTGGATAATGATGATGATGACGATGATGCTGATGATGATGGTGATGATGGTGCTAATGATGATGATGATGATGATGATGATGATGATGATGATGATGATGATGATGCTGTGATGATGATGCTGATGATGATGATGATGAGGATGAGGATGCTGATGCTGAAGAGTAATATGAGGATGGGGATGATGATGAGTATGCGGATGGCCATGATGATGACGATGCTGATGATGCCGATGATGACGATTATGCTGCTGCTGATACTGATGATGTCGATGCTGATGCTGATGATTTTGATGCTGATGTTGACGATGATGATGACAATGGCGACGATGCTGATGATGCTGATGATGATGATAATGATGATGGTGATGATGATGATGATGATGATGATGGTACTGATGATGATGCGGATGATGATGATGATGCTGATGCTGATGGTGATGCTGATTTTCATGATGATGGTGATGATGAGGGTGACGATGATGATGATGATGATGATGATGATGATGATGATGATGATGATGATGATGAAGATGAGGATGAGGATGATGATGATGATGATGATGATGATGATGATGATGATGATGATGATGATGATGCTGATGATGATGATGATGATGATGATGATGATGATGAGGATGGTGGTGGTGGTGGTGATGATGCTGCTGATGATGATGCTGCTGATGATTATGTTGATGCTGCTGCTGATGATGATGATGAGGAGGAGAAGGAGGAGGAGGAGGAGGACGAGGAGGGCGGAGGAGGAGGAGGAGAAGGAGGAGAAGAAGGATCAGGAAAGTTGCGCAGGGGTGTGGGGGGGGAGGAGGGGGCAGGACTCTCAGATCTTGTGGCCTCTGCGTGTTGCTTGGCGCGCTCCACCCACCTCTAAGTGTTCGCACGCTGGCGCTGTGATGTCGGCAGATGCCTTGGATTATGACCATCTTCCCACAAAGGCCAGACCCCTGCATATTCCTCATGATGGGACGCTCCCCTCTCCTTTACCTCCCCTTCCCTCTCTCTGCTTCGTCTTGTCGTCATCCTCTTTCATCTCGCAGTTCTCACCGTGTACTCGCCTTCCCTCCTCTCCTTCTTTTCTTTCCTCTTCGTTTCCTGTGTAATCGGCAACGTTCTTCCTTAATTTCCACCCCTGCTTGGAGGAGCTGGCGGAACTTCGCGCCCAGCTGAGGGATGCAAATGCCAAGATTGCCGCTCTGGAGACGAAGATGGGGCAGGCGACGTTTGGCGCCTTTCTCCCTCCTTCTCTCCTCTTTGTCACCTCTCTTCTTCTCTCCCCGTTTCCCCCCTTGTTTATTCTCCATCTCCTCCCCGCACCGCCACCTTCTCCCATCCACCCTCCCTTTCCCCCCCCTCTGTTTCCCCTCTTTCCTCCCTCCCTCCCTTCCACTCTTCCTTCCTCTCCTTGTTTGCGTCCTCTCTACACCCTTTCCCCTCCCTATCAAACCAGTATGGTTTTGAAATAGGTCGGGACCCCAATGATGCTGCTGATGATGATGATGATGATGATGATGATGATGATGGTGATGCTGATGCTGATGCTGATGCTGATGCGGATGATGTGATGTGATGATGATGATGATGATGATGATGATGATGATGATGATGATGATGATGATGATGATGATGATGATGATGATGATGATGATGATGGTGACGATGATGATGACGATGACGATGATGATGCTGCTGATGATGATGATGATGATGATGATGACGATGATGATGCTGATGATGATGATGATGAGGAGGAGGAGGATGATGAGGAGGAGGAGGAGGAGGAGGAGCAGCAGAAGGTACGTGAAGGTTTTTCGAGGTCACTTGAGGTCCCAGGAGGTCGCTGGAAGCTTTTGGGTATCCCCATAAGTCCCCACGATGGCGGAAAGAATCCAGTACATGATACCTCGATCTTCCAGGATTTTCGGATCCAGTGTGCAGCTGGAATTCCCGAAAAACGCGGCTGCCGCTCCGCCGAGGAGGGGCGTCCGCGCGGTGAAGGCCGGGGGCGTGGCGGCGCCGAGAAGTGGCTTCCCCGTCGAGAGCGGCTCGCTCAGCGGAGGCGATGCCTGCGTCGGCGGGGGCAATGCCGAGTTCCCGCCGAGCCATTGGGGCGACCCCTTCTCCGTCATTCGCTACGACGCGAAGGGCGCCATCGCGGCCTTCGCGGACTGGCCGCCGACGCGGCCTGACCTGATCGAGGCGCCCTTGGAACTCGACGGCAGCGCCCCCGGGCGCCGCGGCGACTTGCGCTCCCGACTGCTGCGCGGCCGTCGCAGCGGCATAGCGAGCAGAAAGGGGCGCGCGCCCCTCGGGCCTCTCCGCCACTTCGGAGGCACGGGGCCGCCGCGTAGCTGCAACTTCGTCGATGGCCCGAGAGGCTCCCGGATGGCGCGGTCCTCCCGACGCCTGGCCGCTGGGGCCCGGGCCTTCGGGAGTTCCCGGTGGCCCGCCTTGGGCGCCGAGCTCTTCGAGGAGATCGTGCGGGCCAGGGGCGGCTGGGCAGCCGCGGGGCGGGCCCCACGCGAGTTGGCGGAGCAGGCGCACCCGGCCGGGGCCGACCCGAGCGAGCCATCCAACCTCGTGAAGAAGGGGGTCTACGAGGCAGCCAGAGGGGTCCTGGAAGGCCGGCGTTGAGCAGAAGGCCGAGCAGTCCGCGGCGACCGCTCGGGTCACGTCGCAGCGGGGCAGCCTATCCGCCCGCCTCCGCCTGTTGGCCGCGCCCCCGTGCGAAGCAGGGGTCCCGGAAGCGGACTTCATGGGGGGGCTGGGAACAAGGATTGCAGTGGGCATCCTGCGCGAGATGCCCCAGCAGGAGGCCCCTCCGAGGAGCCTGCGAAGTTGCGCCTCGACCAGGAGTGGGCCAGCTGGGCTGCTCCAGAATCCGCTGACTACAACCGCGTGGGGGGCCGCGGCGATTGGCTGCGGTGACGCTTCGCGGACGGTGTCAAGTCGGGCTGGATAGCCAACGTATCCAAGCAGATTTGCGCCGCCGTCTCCACAGCAACTGCGCTATAGCAGCGTTGGCGGTTTTGGAAGGCGCGAGCGGCAAGAAACGACTCGTGCGCGATGGCGCGCGCGAGGTCGCGGTGAACAATAGGATCCCATGCAGGGGCCGCCAGACGATGCCGATGCCCGCGGACGAGAACTACCTCTTGAGCTATTACCGGGGCCGGCACGAAGTCACCTTCTCGCTCGTCACCGACGTCAAGGGCGCGCATCGGCTCATCAGGATCCGCGTGGACGTGCGGGGCGTGCTGGCCTGCGAGTTTGAGGGCGAGATCAACTGCGACACCGTCGGCACCTTTGGCATTTCCATCGCCTCGGAGTGGTAGGCCAGGTTGTTTTCCATCGCCTCGGAGTGGTAGGCCAGGTTGTTCGGCGCCGTGCTGCGGGCGATTTCTTGTTGGTGGGCAGCGCCTGGCCCGTGGGGCAGCTCGCCTGCGCCGACGACTTGGAAACGATCGGCTCACGGCGTCGCGGGAGTGGCCGCCCTGTTCATGGGCATCCCCCTCGGCGTCTTAGGCTTCCTGGTGCAGGGGGCCAAGACGCGCGGCTGACTCGATGTGGATCGGAGTGGCCTGTGCTGCGACTACACCACCTTCGCCGCGGCCCTCTCGGAGGCGAGGGCGGCGTGGGTGGCGGCCTGGTGCCTGGGGGCGGTCGGGCGCGGCATCATCCGCGTGGCCGAGACGGCATCGGGCTCGGGGTGCCTGGGTTCGCGGCGATGGTCTTCGCCTGGGAGCAGCTGCTCCTGGGGCCCGCGCGCGCCTGGATCGCCGGCCTCCTGCGCGCGCGGTGCGGCGCGGGTGGAGGCGGTGGTGCCGTGGCGTGGGGAGAAAAAGAGAGAAATGAGGTGGGCCTCCTCCCTCGGCCCAGTGGGCCCCCAGTCGCCTTGGCTGCCTGCCTGGGGCGGGCGGCCCTTCCTGCGGAGATCGGGCAAATTTGGGGGCACCTAAGCCGAGGGGGGGTCCGCGATAGGGGGATGGGCTTCCAGCGATCGCAGCCTCCGGGGGGGCCCCAGGAAATTCCTCCTCAATTTCGGGTTTCCTTTGCCTCTTGGTGTCCCACTCTCATCGCATGGGGCGGTATCAAGTTCCTGGGAGTGGCAGGGGCCCTGCGCCAGGCCCCCAGGACAGCCGCCAGTAAAAGGGGCATCACCGTCACTTCCTTCCCCCTTCTACCCCCATCGCACCGGTATTAGGGTTCATCGAGGATACGCCCCCGTGTGCCAACACGTAAGTGTATCTTCCTTGGCAGTCCGACGTCTGTTGCCATTTAGGTTCAGGTGCTCGGCCGATTTTCTACAAACCACCCACCGCCCTGGGGCATCGAGTTCCTGGGGGTGCCGGGGGCCCTGAGCCGCCCCCCCTGGAAACACCACCATTAAAAGGAGTATCGTCGTCCCCTCTTTCCATTATCGTCGTTGTACCGCTAGTCGAGTTTATTGATGATGGTGTTGGTCATGCTGGTTGTGATGATGATTGTGGTGACGAAGGTGGTTATGATGATGATGGTAATGGTGATGAAGATTATGATGATGATGATGATGGTGATACTGATGATGGTGGTGCGGGTGATTTCCGACGACGCTGATGCAGATGCTGATGCTGGTGACGATGATGGCGAGGATGATGATGGTGCTGCTGCTGAAGACGATGATCAGAATGAGGACAATGGCGATCATGATGATGCTGATTGTGGTGATGATGATGCTGTTGATACTGATATGATGGCGGTGGTGATGATGACGATGGTGGTGGTGGTGGTGCTGATGATGATGATGATGATTCTGGTGATGAGAAGCATGGGGGGAGGAACGTGATGATGATACTGATGATGCTGCTGATACTGAGGATGATGATTGTGATGCTGATGATTATGATGACTATGATGATGATGATGCTGGTGCTGATGATGCTCATGATGATAATGATGATGATGGTGGTGATGATGATGCTGCTGGTGATGCTGATGCCTATAAAAATGATGATGCTGGTGATGATGATGATCATATTGATACTGATGCGGATGAGAATGATGATGCTGCTGATGATGCTGATGATGGTGATAGTGACGACGATCATGCTGATGACGTTGATGATGATGATGTTGCTGATGATGCTGCTGCTGATGATGCTAATGATGCTGATGATGGTGATAGCGATGATGACGATGATGATGATGCCGTTGATTAGGATGATGATGATGATGATGATGATGATGATGATGATGATGATGATGATGATGTTGATGCTGATGATGCTGCTGATGCTGATGACGATGGTGATGATGATGATGATGCTAATTTTGATCATGATGCTGATGATGATTCTGCAGATGCAGATGCTGATGCTGATGCTGATGATGATGGTTGTGATGATGATGATGATGATGATGATGATGATGATGATGGTGCTTATAATGATAATGGTAATGACGATCATGATGTTGTTGATGCTAATGCTGATTTTAATGCTGATGCTGATGATGATGCTGCTGGTGACGATGATGATGATGCTGATTGTGGTGGCGATGATGATGTTGATGATGATGATGGTGATGATGATGATGATGATGATGATGCTGTCCATGCTGCTGATGATGATGATGTTGTTGTTGTTGTTCTTGATGGTCATGATGATGTTGATGATGATGATTGTCATGATGATGATGATGATGATGATGATGATGATGATGATGAAGATTATGATGATGATAATGATGATGGTGATGATGCCACTGCTAATGATGATGATGATGATGAGGCTGACGCTCATGATGACGATGATGATGCTGCTGCTGATGACGATGCTGATGCTGATGATGATGATCGTGCTGATGCTCAGGATGATGATGCTGATGCTGATGCTGATACTGCTGATGCTGATACTGCTGATGATGATGACGACGATGATCATGCTGCTGATGATGCTGATGCTGCTGATGATGATGCTGCTGCTGATGATGCTGATGATGCTGCTGCTGATGATGCTGATGATGATGATGACGCGGATGCTGATCATGTCGACGATGATGATGCTGCTGATGATGCTGCTGATGATGTTGCTGATGCTGATGCTGCTGATGATGATTATGTTGAATAATGATGCTGCTAATGATGATGATGATGATGATGATGATGATGATGATGATGATGATGCTGCTGCTGACGATGATGATGATGCTGCTGTTGTTGATGATGATGATGCTGATGAGGATGATGATGCTGCTGCTGATGATGCTGCTGGTGATGATGACGATGATGATGATGACGATGACGATGACGATGATGATGATGATGATGATGATGATGATGATGATGATGATGATGATGACGATGATGATTATGTTGTTGTTGATGCTGATGTTGATGATGTTGATGTTGGTGATGATGATGGTGAGACGGCAGAGGAGGATGAGGAGGAGGAGGCGGAGGAGGAGGAGGGGGAGGAGGATGACGGCAAGCAGGAGGAGGACGAGGATGGAGAGGTGGAGGATGAGGAGGAGGTCGAGAAAGAGGAGACGGAGGAGGGCGAGAAGGGGAGGAGGAAGATGAGGAGGAGGAGGAGGAGGAAGAGGAGGAGGATGATGAGGAAGAGGAGGAGGAGAAGGAGGACAGAGGAGGAGGAGGACGAGGAAGCGGATAAGGAGGAGGAAGAGGATGAAGAAGAAGAAGCCAACTAATAACAATAATACCTATACGACCACCCTTCGGGTGATAAGGAGGTTCGGGGGGGGGGAGGAACCAACGTCTCACTCGATCGGTCTCACTATCGATCTCACTATCGATCTCAGTATCGGTCTCGCTCGATCGATCTCCCTCGATCGATCTCACAATCGATCTCACCCGATCTATCGCACAATTGATCTGACTATCGATCTCACAATCGATCTCACAATCGATCTCACAATCGATATCACATTCGGTCTCACGATCGATCTCACTATCGATATCACAACCGCTCCCACAATCAACGTCATCATCATCAACAACAACATCAACATCATCATCATCACCAACGTCATCATAATCGGGACACAGTCCTCATCATCAACACCAACATCATCATCATCATCACGGTCATCAACATCATCGGGACACCACCATCATCATCATCATCATCACCATCACCACAATCATCATCATCATCAACATCAGCATCATCATCACCATCGGGACACAGTCATCGTCATCATCATCATCAGCAGCAGCATCATCATCGGGACACCATCATGATGACCATCGTTATCATCATCATCATCATGATCATCGGGGCACCATCATCATCTCATCCTCATCAGTGACATCATCATCATCAGCATCATCAACATCATCATCATCAGCATCATCATCATCGTCATCATCGGGGCACCATCATCATCATTACCAACATCAGCATCAGCGTCATCATCATCACCATCGGGACGCCATCATCATCATCACCATCATAATAATCATCATCACCGGGACGCCATAATCATCATCAACCTCATCAACATCAACATCATCATCATTGGGACACAATCATATTCAGCATCTTCAACATCAACATCATCATACTCATCATCATCGGGACACCATCATCGTCATCATCATGGTCATCAACAGAATCATCATGATCATCATCATCCTCATCATCGGGACACCATCAGCATCATCATCATCGTCATCATCGTCATCGACATCATCACCATCATCATCATCATCGGGACACCATCATCATCATGTCATCAGCATCATCGTCCTTTTCATCACCATCATCATCAGCATCACCATCATCATCATCATCGTCATCATCATCAGCAGCATCATCATCATCAGCATCACGATCATCATCATCATCATCATCATCATCATCATCATCATCATCATCATCATCTCATCATCATCATCATCATCATCATCATCATCATCATCATCATCATCATCGCGGGACACCGCGGGACACCCGCGGGACACCGCGGGGCACCGCGGGACACCGCGGGACACCGCGGGGCACCGGCGGGACACCGCGGGCCACCAGCCGCCCGGAAGGGAGTCATTTGGTCCAGCCGCGCCTCAGCCACACGGGACTTTCGCGGGATACCGGCGGGACACCGCGGGCCACCGGCCGCCCGGAAGGGAGTCATTTGGTCCGGCCGCGCCTCAGCCACAGGAGACTTTTTCTCGCCCGCCCACGCAGCTTCGCCTCGCCCGCACGCGTGGCACGCACGAACACGAAACCGAAATCGATTTCCCGGTAGGGGGGCTCTCCGTTCCAGTTCGATCTCACCCCCTCACTTCCGACTAATAATACGAAGAATAATAAGGCATACTAAAAATAATAAGAGTATTCCTCGGAAGGCTACGGATAATAGTATGAATGTTAATAACGATAATATGAAAAGTATTAATAGCAAGAGCGATAATGAAAATACTACTAGTACAACTAATCCTAATGGCCATATTCATAATAACGAGACGAATGCAACGAATAATATTAATAATCATTGTACAAATCGTACTAATAATAAGAATATAACTAGTAAGAATAGTACTAAGAAGGATACTAATAGTTTCTATGAGCAAACGTAATATCAACAGTATTGATAATACTAATAAGGCAAATACTGATACTAATCATACGACTAATACTACTAGTAGTGATAATACGAATAGAAAACGAAGTATACTACAAATAATGCCAATGATAATACTACTAAGAAAAATAATAAGCGCACTGCGAATACTATTAGTAAGAAGAATGATCTTACTGATAAGCAGAACAAAGATAATACGAGAAACAAGGCGAATACTCATATCACTAATAGTGATGGTAATCTGGGTAATACTACCAATAATATTGGAATGGCCTCCGGCCAGTGCCGCCGATCCGGGGCGCTCCGGATGATGATGATGACGATAATGATGATGCTGATGATGATGATGTTGATGATGTTGATGATGTTGATGATGATGATGATGGTGGTGGTGATGATGATGATGATGACGATGACGACGATGACGACGATGACGACGATGACGGCGATGACGGCGATGACGATGACGATGACGATGACGATGACGATGACGATGACGATGATGATGATGATGATGATGACGATAATGCTGATGATGATGATGATGATGATGATGATGATGATGATGATGATGATGATGATGATGATGATGATGATGATGATGATGATGATGATGATGATGGTGGTGATGGTGATGGTGATGGTGATGGTGATGATGATGATGATGATGATGATGATTGTTGTTGATGATGATGATGGTTGATGTGGTGGTGGTGGTGGTGTTGGTGGTGGCGATGCTGTTGTTGAGATGATGATGATGATGATGGAATGGGATGATGCTGATGATGATGATGATGATGATGATGATGATGATGATGATGATGATGATGATGATGATGATGATGATGATGATGATGATGATGATGATGATGATGATGCTGATGTTGAGGCAGCTTTTGAGCTTCTTGGGGGCCTTTGGGGGGTCCTGGGGGGCCAGTTGGGGCCTTTTGGGGCGTCTTGGGGCCTCCTGGGGGCCTCCTGGGCCGTCTTAGGCCCTTCTTGGGCCGTCTTGGAGCCCTTCTGGGCGCCTCTTGGGCCCGTCTTGGAGCCCTCTTGCGCCGTCTTGGGGGCCTCCTGGGCCTGCGTAAGCCCTTCTTAGGCCGTCTTGGAGCCTTTTTGAGGGCCCCTTGAGCCGTTTTGGACACTGTGAAGGCCCAAGAGGCGAACATGCTAAAAATGTAGGGTTTCCTCAGGGAAATCTGTGGAAGCCCCCCCCCTACCCCGGCAGAGCCCCCCCCGGCCCACCCCCCCCCTTCAACTCACACGCCGGATCGGCGGATTAATAATATTCATATCAGTCCTAAGAATCAGAACAAGAATAATATTAATACGAGGAAGAAGAAGACGTAATACTAATACTAACAACACGCATAATAATGCTGTCAATACTGTACAGAATACTATTAATACAAATCAGCATCATTTTAATACTAGTAGTGATATTTATGGTAATAAGAAGGAGAATGCTACTACTGACAATAAGAAGAATACTAAGACAACTAAGCATCATAATATTAATACTAAGAACAGCAGGCGGAGAAGGAGGTGGAGGACATCGACGAGGAAGCCGAAGAACAGGATGAGGACGAGGAGGCGGAGGAGGACAGAGGTGGATGAGGAGGAGGAGGAGGAGGATGAGGAGGATGCGGAGCAGGAGAAGGAGGATGAGGATGAGGAGGATGAGGAGGAGGATGAGGAGGAGCAGGTGGAGGAGGAGGAAAAGGGGGAGGAGGAGGAGGAGGAGGGCGAGGAGGAGGAGGAGGCGGAGGCGGAGGTGGAGGCGGATGCGGAGGAGGAGGAGGAGGAGGAGGAGGAGGGGAGAGGAGGAGGAGGAGGAGGAGGAGGAGGAGGAGGAGAGGAGGAGGAAGAGGAGGAGGAGGGAGGAGGAGGAGGGGAGGAGGAGGAGGTGGAGGTGGAGGAGGAGGGGTGAGGAGGAGCAGGAGGAGGTGGAGGAGGCGGAGGAGGAGGGAGGAGGAGGAGGAGGAGGAGGAGGAGAAGAGGAGGAGGAGGCGGAGCAAGCAGGAGGAGGAGGAGGAGGAGGAGGAGGAGGAGGAGGAGGAGGAGGAGGAGGAGGAGGACCAATGGGAGGAGGAAGAAGGAGGAGGAGGGAGTAATAATAGGAGTAGGAGGAGGCGGAGGAGGAGGAGGAAGGGGAGGAGGAGGAGGAGAGGAGGAGGAAGAGGAGGAGGAGGAGCGGAGGAGGAGGAGGAGGAGGAGGAGGAGGAGGAGGAGGAGGAGGAGGAGGAGGAGCAGGAGGAGCAGGAGGAGGAGGAGGAAGAGGAGGAGGGGGAGGGAAGGAGAGGAGGAGGAAGAGGAGGAGGGATGAGGAGGAGGAGGTAGGAGGAGCATGAGGAGGAGGGGAGGAGGAGGAGGGAGGAGGAGGAAGAGGAGGAGGAGGAGGAGGATGAGGAAGGGCGGAGGTGGGGGCGGAGGCGGGCGCGAGAGGAGGAGGAGGAGGAGGAGGAGGAGGAGGAGGAGGAGGAGGAGGAGGAGGAGGAGGAGGAGGAGAGGAGGAGGAGGAGGAGGAGGAGGAGGAGGAGGAGGAGGAGGAGTTGGAGGAGCCCGTCCTCCCGGCGACACCGCGCGCGTGCGCCAGCTGACGAGCGCCTCGGGCGGCGATGCTGCAGCCGCTGCCGAGCCCGTCGCGGACGCCACCCCTCCAGTCGCGCGGCGGTCGCTCTTCCCCCGATGTCAGGCAGGGGGCATGGAGCAGAAGGGGGGAAGCAAAGGGTAAGAGAGGGACTTGAGCTTGTCCATCCAGCGGCCTGAAACACACGTTGTCTGCAGTGTTCGCCCTCCAGGGGCCGTTTCCAGGCCGCAGGGCCGCCAACAGAACAAACGACTCGTGATGAATAGCTGGCCCCGGGGACGTGGTCGATATCCCTGGGGGCCGACGTCGCGAAATAATTGTCGTCGGAGGAGGGGGGATGGTGCAGGAAGGGAGACGGGGTGGGCGAGGGGAAGAGGGCCTCCTGGAATCCAGGACATGACGGCGTCAGAGTTTGTCGCGCAATACGCTGCCACACTCCCCTCCAGCGGCCTTCGCCGCGGGGGGTCGAAACAGACGACGCGGAGGCGTGGGATGGGGGGTTCCTCGAAACCAGAGACGGGGAGGAGAGGAGGACAGGAGGCCAGCGAGGACCATAGAGGAGCATCCTGGATCCTCCCGCGAAAAAACTAACGCGGGAAATCGAACAATGCACGTGGAATAGACGTCCGAGCGATGGCGAGTATAAGTAGAGGCAAGGGGCGACCCGAGCTGCAGAAGCCCTCCTCCTGGCACCCCCTCCGCTGAGAGGGACGGATGGAGGAGTGAGGAGGAAGGACTGGGGGAAGAGAGGAGGGCGGAAGAGGGAGGAGGGAGGAGGGAGGAGGAGGGGGGAGGGAGGGGAGGAGTGAGGTGGGAAGGAGGGAGGGAGGGAGGGAGGGAGGAAGGGTGGTGTTCGTCTCGGGAGGGGAGCGTCCGCGGCGGGATGGCCGCCCCCTCTGTGTGCTCCGTCGCTCGAGGGGGCGCCGGCGTGGATCGCCAGGGGCGGCCTGCGCCGCGGTGGCTCCCTGCTAGACTTCCCCGTGACGTCCTTCTGCCCTCGCCCACGCCCGCCTCGCCCCCTTTCCTCTTCCTCCTCCTCGCCCTCCTCCTCCTTCTCCTCCCCTCCTCGCCCTCCTCCTCCTCCTCCTCCTCCTCCTTCTCCTCATCCTCCTGAGGCCGCCTCGGTGGCCAAGGCGCAGCAGCAACCGCCCCCTGCAGGCGCCCAGCTGGCGAGCAGGTCGCGGACTTGCCGCTCGAGGGCGTCTCCGTGACCTCTTGCGGCGGGAGCAGGGCTGCGAAGGGACAGAGCATGTAGGTGCCCCTCTGCAGGTGAGATTCTGAGAGGCTGAGCGCGCCGGGACAGCCGTCGCCGTTGACGAGGTGGTCCGATCCAGTGGCCCTGCCATCTGAGCTGCACGCCGTCGCCGTCGCAGTCGATGAAGTCGATCGCCGCTGGCCCAACCGCGGCCACGAGCCGCGCGGCCGGCGCTGCTGCAGCCAGCGTGGCCGAAGGAGTGGTTCCTGCAGTCTCTCCCGTGGCTGCCTTTGTCGTGGGCTCTGAGCCAGGAGGCGCCGCCGGAGGTGCTGCGCCCGTCGGCGCAGCCGCAGAGGGCTCTACCAATGTCGCCGCGCGGGTGGCCCGTGGGCGTCCGTGAAGCTCGTTGGCCTCGTCGCACGGGTCGTTCTCGAAGGCGGCGGCCTCGCCGTTGCCGCGGTTGCCCTTCCCGTAGGAGTCGTTGCCCGTCCCGTGGGTATCGTTGCCTTTCCCGTGGGTGTCGTTGCCTTTCCCGTAGGCGTCGTTGCCCTTGCCGTATGGGTCGTTGTCCCTTCATTAGGTGTCGTTGCCTTTGCCGTTGCCGTGGGTGGCCTTCCAGTAGGCGCCTTTGCCGTAGGCGCTCCCGTAGGTTTCGTGCGCGGAGGGGTTCGTGTAGGCGCTTCCGAAGGCGTTCGGGTAGGCACTCCCGTAGGCGCCGTAACCGCTTCCGTGGGTGCTCCCGTAGGTGTCTTTCCCGTGGGCAGCCAGTTGTACTCAGGAATGCGAAGGCCAGTGATGCGGCCTGGTACGAAGACTGCCGCGTCGACAGGACAGGCGATGCCTGGACAGGCGATGCCGATTCCTCCGCAGATCAGCGCGCCATAGTGTCGAGAGGTTGATCTGCTGGCGAACGTCTACGGAGGGGAGGCCTCCTCCTCCCCCTCCTTTTCCTCCTCATCCCTCTCCTCCCTCTCCTCCCTCTCCTCCCTCTCCTCCCTCTCCTCGCGCTCCTCCCCCCTCCTCCCTTTCCTCCCTGAGGGAGGGAGGGGGCGTGAGTGAGGGAAGGAGGGGACTGGAGGAGGGGATGGTCGGGGGGGCACGGGGAGGAGGGAGATGAGTAGGAAATGGAGAAGGGAAGACCCCCTCTCTGGTCACAGAGTCAGTCGGGAACGCGGCGGTGGCAATGAGGCGTCGGCAGCTGCAAGGCTTCGCAACCGAGGATGGGATGGTAGAGTGATCACGGGGAGTGGAAGAGGAAGAAGGGACGGCAATGAAGGAGTGAGGGGGAAGAGACGAAATGATCATGGGTGCGGATGATGATGTTGATGATGATGATGATGGTGATGATGATGATGATCATCATGATGAGGTTGATGATGATGATGGTGATTACGATTGGTGGTGATGACGATGATGATCATAATGATGTTACTGCTGATGATGCTGGTGATTCTGCACATGATGGTGATGGTGATGGTGATGTTGATGGCGATGGTGATGTTGGTGATGACGATGATGATGATGCCGATGAGGATGTTGATGTTGATGCTAATGAACCTGATGCTGATGCTGATGACGATGATGCTGATTCTGTTGATGACGACCGCGATGCTGCTGATGATGATTGTGATTGTGGTGGTGATTATGATGGTGCAGATGATTCTGATGATATGGATGAGGATGTTGATGCTGATTATGATGAAGATGATGATGATGCTGATAATTCGGATACTGTTGGTGATGGTACTGTGATGATGGCTGTGGTGGTGATGAACCTGATTATGTTTCTGATAGTGATGATGCTGATGCTGGTGATGGTGATGGTGATGCTGATGCGGATGCTGATTCGGATGATGATGATGATGATGATGATGATGATGACGATGCTGATGATGATGATGATATTGATGATGCTGGTGATGAGGATGATGATGATGCTGATGATGGTGATGGTGCTGCTGCTGCTTCTGCTGATGATGACGTAGATTGGGATGCTGATGCTGATGGTGGTTGTGGTGGTGCTGGTGATAACGATGATGCTGATGCTACTGCTGATTTTTACGATGATGCTGAGGACGTTGAGTTTGATGATGCCGAGGATGGTGATGATGCCGCGGATGGTGATGATGCTGATGCCGATCATGCTGATGGTGATGGTGACAGTGATGGTGATGATGATGGTGATGATGACGATGCTGATGATGATGGGGGTTGTGGTGGTGGTAATGATCACGGTGATGATGATGATGTTGGCGATGATGCTGCTGATGCTGATGATGATGATAATGGTGAGGGTGATGATGCGAATGATGCTGCCGATGATGAGGCGAATGCTGATGTTAGTGATGAGGATGATGATGATGATAGTGGTGTAGGTGATGGTGATGTTGATGTTGTTGACGCCCTAGATTCTTATGATGCTGATGCTGATGATGGTGGTTTCGGTTGTGGTGATGATGGTGCTGATGCTGCTGCTGATGCTGCTGATGATGCTGCTGTTGGTGGTGATGATGATTAGAATGCTGCTGTTGATGCTGATGACGACGTTGATCATGATGATGATGCTGATGGTGCTGCTGATCATGGTGATGGTGATGGTGATGCGGATGGTGGTAGTCGTCGTGGTGTTGATGATCTCATGGTGATGCTGCTGATGATGCTGATGGTCCTGGTGATGCTGATGATGATGGTGATGAGGATAATGCTGATTATGCTGATGATAATGTTGATGATGATGATGATGATGATGATGATGATGATGATGATGCTGATGGGGATGTTGATGTTGCTGATGCGGAGGATGATGATGGTGATGCTGCTGCTGCTGCTGCTGATGATGATGATGATGATGATGATGATGGGAATGCTGATGAGGATGCTGATGATGCTGATAATGAGGATGGTCAGGGTGCTGACGATGGTCGATGCTGCTGATGCTGTTGGTGATGGTGATGTTGCTGATGCTCATGATGGAGACGATCCGGATTTTGAGGTTGACCATGGTGATGAGGGTGATGGTGATGATGATGGGGTTGTTGCTGATGATGGGGATGGCTAGGACCGTCATGGTGATGATGATGCTAATGATGATGACGATCATGATGATGATGCTGATGGTGGCTTTGGTGGTGGTGGTGGTGGTGGTCATAGTAAAGGGTGCTGCTGATGCTGATTATGATGATGGTGATGATGTTGAGGATGATGATGCTGATGATGGTGATGCTGATGACGATGATGCTGCTGATTATTGATGGTTCTATTGATGATGATGGTGATGCTGATAATGTTGATGTTGATCTTGCTGTTCATGATGGTGATGAGGCTGTTGATGCTGAGGATGCTGATGCTGATGCTGATGATGCTGATGATCATGATGTTGCTTGTGGTTGTTGTTGTAGTGGTGGTGATGCTGATGAGGTTGATGATGCTAATGATGATGCGCAATATGAGAATGACGTTGTTGATGATGCTGGTGGTTGTTATCTTAGTGGTGGTGGTGATGATGTCATGGCGCTGCTGCTGACAATGGAGATGACGATGCTGCTGATGATGCTGATGCTGATGATGCTGATGATGCTGATGATGCTGATGACGATGTGGATGATGCGGATGATAATGGCGGTGGCTGTGGTGATGTTCGTGGTTGTGGTACTGATGGTAATGATGATCACGATGATGCTGATGATGATGCTGCTGTTGATGATGGTGATGATACGGCTGATGAGTATGAGGATGGTGCCGCTGAGGATGCTGATGATGATGCTGGTGGTGATGCTGATGCTGACGAGGATGCCGATGATGCTGCTGTTGATGATGTGAATGCTGGTTTTGCTGATGCTGATGATGATGCTGATGTTGACTC